TTGACAAACTTTCTCAGTAAGTTGTCCTTTAAAACAATCAAAGATAGCTAAAGTGGATTGGTCTTGGTCAACATTTATTTGTTCTCTTTTCTTCTCTAAAAAAGGAACAATAACTTCTTCAATATAACTGATCATGGTAGATTTGTTTGACCACTGGCTCTGTGTGTGACTGATAAGCCAGTCCTCAGGAAACTTAAATGTTGGGAGACATCGATCTCTCTTACCACTATAAATTAACTGCGGAGGCAGAAACTCAGCCAGGAGTGTTCCACAGAACACACATGTGATCTGTCGCTTATCTGCAAGACTTTGAATTTCTACACATTTACTTTCTTTTGATGTCATTGTCCAGGATGATACAGGAACCAAATTAAGGCCAGTTTGATCCCAGTTAAAAATGAGGTGTATTGGAATTTCGTTCATAGCAACAACATCAAACACTTCCAGTAGAAACAATTCCTTAGCCTGATTAAAAGCAGGAACTGACACTTTCGCCTTTGTAGTACCTCGTCTTTGAGTGTAGTTCATTCGTTTCAATAGCGACTTTGCCCATGCTGCTAATGCGCAGGTCCACCAAACTCAGCCTGTCAAGATCTCTCTTGTGACATCAACATTCCCGTGCTGCTGCTTTCACAATACTGGTATTGACAACACCTCCCTTTTCTCTCATTCTAGTTATATAACTTCTTACCATAGCAACGGTTGGCAAGGAAGTGCCAATGACTTGCGCAGAACCTCTATTGTTAAAAGTGCTAGCAAGACATTGTTCATGTATTCCAGGTTCACCTGTTCCTTCTAAAAGACATTTTTCCCAGGCTGCAGTTCTAATTTTTTGAAATAAGAAATCATATCTCACCAAAGAATGTGGACGTCATTTTGTTTTTCAACCAGAACTTATAGACTGTAGTTAATACTAGTTAACAGTGTTATAATATCTTTTACTCCTTTGATTTTGTGTTAGTATTATTGTTATTCAAGAGTACTTATGACACCACAAAGTTCTGCGCATGCGCAGATGTTAGAATTTGGAATCGGTATTCGATTCTAGTCCAAAAGTATTTAGAATCGGAATTGATTGCCAAATTCTGGATTCGCCCATCACTAGTAGCTTTTCAGAAGTTTGTGATGCACATACGTGTGCTGAATGACAATGACACATCACAAAGAAATCAGGAATCAAAGATTTTAGCTGAGTTACCACTGAGTGGTATTCACCGAACATTACATTGGTTGTGTCAGAAGCATTGCCAATTATATTTGACAAAAGAATCTGATGCTTTTTAAATGTGGCTATTACACTTGCAGTTATTGTTAAGGCACCTGCCTTAGTAAGCTTAATTAGGAAGAAAAAATAACTTTTCACATTGAGTCCTTTCTGAGAGAAGTATTTAACATCAACAGCCAGATGCCTTTTGAAGAATAACTTGTTTTGCTGTAGATCTTTGACTAGTTCCAGTTTAAATCACTTTGCAACAACATTTCTAACATTGGAACGTGTTTTTGTGGGCTAACTCCTAAATTTCATGGCAATTGCTAAGTGGGGAAGGCTTCTTTTACCAAATTGCTTAGATGATCCACAACAGAATATGGCAAGGTCATGTTCCGTAACAAATGCTGCCATTTTTACCACTGCCACCTTAACCTATTGCAAAACAGTGTCAGTTAAGACCATATCAGTAATTGATTTGGTTTTGTTGACAGCTTTTTCTTTCTCTTGATGCCATTTTCATAAATGTTTTTGTAGTTCTGAGAGTCCAGCAGTTCGTTTCTTGTCACATGCTTTACGGTACGCTTTGTATGGAGACTTCGTCATAGGAGAAAACCATAGTTTCAGCAAAGTATCTCTCTCCCATAAGACATTGTACTTTGGTTTATAAGTTCTTCCTTCTATGCTGGGAGTTCTGGTGCACCTTTAATTCCGCTGTTGTACTCATCACTGGTCTCGATTTCTATAGTTGCTGTTATACTTATACTCAGCCGGAGAACAAGGAATCATGTAACATGTGCAAAGTGCATAAACAGCATACACAGGACTGTATACAAGTATGTAGTGTACAGTTTCACTAAATAATACCAATAGTAGAAATGTACATTAGGTAACTTTATGAAAACTTCTGATAATAGCACATTATGTACATTAAATTAAGGTACATAATATTTGTATAGTTTTACTTACAAGTACCAAAAGTACATAAGGCACATTAGATAGCATTCTGATAACTTAAGGTCATGTACATTACGTCTTGTGTATACTAAAAAAGTTATGAATATAATTAAACTTCATCAATATCATTTAAATTGAAGGAAGCATTGTAATTTCGCTGGATAGCATTAGTTTCAAAAATTCCTCCTGTAGACCCTAAATAAGTAATTTTCCCCCAGATCTAAGGAAATTTCTGAGGTTGAGGCCCTGGTTGGCAGGGCATATCTACTAGTTTCATGATCACGATTCTTCATTGTTGTTATAAATATTACTATAAGAAGAGGAAAGCCAATAAACAAAGTAATGACAAAAGGCACTATAAAGAAGATCAAATAACCCAAACAGTTATTATTACTAAAAAATAGATTAGAGAAGCATTGAAACTACTACAAAAATGGACCTAATGACGTCTATGACAAAACTAGTCTTTATCAAGTAACAAAACAAAACTAACCCAAAACCAATAAAGAACCCAAGTTCCTTCTGCAAAGACTTTACAACAGACACAAGGAGAGCTGTTTGTGGCCTTCTTTTAAGATCCCTGTTTTCATTACAACCAGCTTGGTAGTTACCACATGGGTCAAAAGGCTGGGAAGAAAGGTTGCTAGGGGAGAGGTTATTACACTGTCTAACAAAGCCTAAAAAACAAAATTAGTATTATTATTACTATTATTACTACTACTAGTACTATCATTCTTAGCATGCTGCACAAAGCACATTAACGGGACACTTAGAAAACAAATTAACTATCAAGAAACCACAACTCAAACAACAAAAGGGATTATGTGAAGAGCATTAAATAAGAAAGAAGAAATAGCAAAAAAGTACTTTTACACTATTATTATCAAGAGAGAGGGGGAAGCCTGTAGTGCAATGAAGAACAGAAAAACCACACACACAGACACTTATTACATGGAGAGTAATGAATACTTAAGTTTAATCAACTAATTGCATCATACATGTAATTAATACAAGCAACATATGGCACCTAATTATGGTTCTTCAAGCCCACATCGGTCTCCAGTACTAGCTACCCTGGCCAATCTACACTCCCAGAAGAACTCAAGTCTATTTAGCTTATAAAGCTTATGCTACGTCTTTAAAGAAAGGGAAAGAGTATGGCAATACTATAGATTTAGTTGATTATATTAAGAGTTTGGCTTCGAGATAACTTTGTCCTCCTTCTGCTACTGCTGAAGTGGCGCAATTTGTATGTAAGAGATCTCGGGTTGACCAACATTGTCACCCAGTTTCTGTAAGTTCTATCGTTAAATGAGATAAATTTAGAGTTATTTGTAATTAAGAGGTCAATATTGGATATCCTAGTGGTTTAAAAACATACATGATGGATATGCCAGTTAGCAAGCATGGTGTGAATCATTAAACTAGGTCAAAAGATCCATCTAAGAGTTTAGCAATTAGTTTTGAAGAACAAGAAGTCTATGACATGGATTGTAAAAGGAATGGGTAAAATCATTCAATATAAGTTGAAGAAATTATGTTGAAAGAAATATAATTCATTCCTGATATGAAGACATAAGGAACGTATTCATACTTTTCCATGGTAAAGCTTATATCAAGATTTTTCTTGTCATTGTCCTACATTGCTTAATTTGTTAGCATCTGCAGCAGATTCACAGTATGGCAGACCTAATGGAGAAAAAATGATCACCATGACAGTTTGTATTCTTGTTCAGTTTCGTTGTTCAAAGTTGGCTCTCTTTCAATAAATATCTGCATTAAGGCTGGTTTAGAAATTACGTTGGTAGTTGCGTTGGAATAACAGTTACGTGACGTACATTACGGAAATTGGTTCACAATTATTATGATTTCATCAGAGCAGTGACAATTATTAACCCCTTGTAGTTGTAAGCTACTCTATAAAATGGCGGATATTGGAGCAGATGACCTGCAGCTTACTTTGTTATTATGCCTTTTACTTCAGCGCAGAAGGATACGGAAGAGAAAGAGGCTGAGAAGAATATGGATTCGTCCTATATTTGCCCTTCGTAGACAGCAGGGAGAATATTACAATTTACTCCAAGAGTTGAGGCTCTGATCCTGATTCCCACTTTCGTTACTTAAGAATGTCACAGGAGATGTTTGACTATATTCTATTTAAAGTAAGTTTATGTGATATGAGATTGTTATAATTTTTATAGGTCAGCCCATTACTGACACGCCGCAATTATTATTCAATCAGGGCTGGAATTAGTGCAGCTG